ATATTTAACGAACTGCTCAGCGGGAATGGAATCTCGGGGAGTGCGTTTTGCTGCTTGACGAGTTTGCTCGGCGCCACGTCGAGGATGAGAACGGGGTGGTGAACAGCTAGACGAATGGCCCATTCTCCTAGAAGATAGCCAGCAAGCGCCGAGCGGATTCCTGTGCCTCTCGCCTAATGCGAGCGATCAGCCGTGTGGGTTTTCAGACCGGGGGCTCTAGTCTGGAGCCCCCGGTCTGAAAACCCTGGAGCCTGAAGCCCCCGGCCGATCATGGCGGGGAAATTTCTCAATTGTTTTTTCGTCAAGTGTCCAAATTTATCCTCGTGTGGGTTCACCGGAGCACTCGGCGAGCGGCTTCAACTGTTCTAAGGAAAGGCGGTGGAACTTGAGGAGCGATCAGGAGAAGTTCGCTGCGTCACTCCTTTCCGGAGAAGCTGGATGGTATTCACTCCGAAAATTTAAGTTTAGAACTTTACGACAGCGGTCTTGTCGCTTTACGGCAGCGACTGCTCCATCTGTACTTGACAATATATAGCTTCAAAGATATCTGGCGGTCCTGTTACAAGTGTAGTAAGGATCTGTTTGAAAGACGACGAATCGATACGACGTGGTGCTGAGGTTTCGATGTTGACGCCGAAAAAGAGTAATCGTGGTACTTTTTGTGGATGAAGAACAGTAATGAGTACTACGCTTAATTAGGATGCCCTCATTGTTCCGTGTGAAGGGTAAGTCGGTCGATTGCCTTATAAACAAGGGCAGTAAATATATCCCGCACTCGTCCAGCACGACTTTGGTGCTTTACGAGGGGATGTAAAGGCATCGGAGGGTGGGTGCTGGTGGAGAGTACAGGCGCATCGGGGCTGAAGCAGCGGAAATGAGATATGGCAGCTGGGCTGCAAGCAAGGAGGCCAGCTGCGTCTGCTACAATGTGTGCCCCTGAGAGCCGTCGCTCTGCCATTCCCAGCGTTGCCGGATGCTTTAAAATCTGCGAGCGCTGGCTATTTGCAGGGGGAAGGGTCTATAGGTATAACTAATTGGATCCCGCCCTTGGCAAAATGCAATACACTAAATGAATACTTAGAATGCTAAAATTGTGCTTTTAGTAGAGCAGCTTATTCACAGTATACTTGTGCAGCTTACTTATACTATATGTGTACTTGTAGAGCAATTTACTTATAGTATAAATGCACTGCTAGACTTCTGAAAGGACACTTGCAAATATAAATCTTATACATTTACTTAGGCATTATTGTAATGCATTGAGACCAGTATCAATTTACTAAAGTAATCTACTGAAACAAACTCTTGTGCATTCTCTTGTAAGTCAGCTACAAGCATAATACAGCGTGCTATATAATGTTGTAAGTATGGTATAGTGCAGTGAAATATTACTTTAAACTCATTTAAAGTGTACGGAGTATATATTAATATACTCTGGAGTTATTTGACAATTACTGGGGGTACATGTCGAATCGATAAACTGTGAATTCCGTATTTGTGTTGTCTTCTTGCTCAGTGAGAAAAGGGGATAACAAGGCGACACGTGCAGCTTAGCTAAGTATGTTGAGAACAGTTAATTACTTAAGTGATTTTAACGCTTCTTTGAACTGTAGAAAAAATCTTATATGTATAAGAAATTGCTTTGTCCAATAAACGCATATGATCAAACAAGAGTTAAGAGAGCATAAACAACAATTTAAGAACATGTAAGAATAGTATAGATTATATAAGAAGTTATAAGAAACGTCTTATCAGATTTCCATAATTTCTTATATAACCGTAAATTGTTCTTATATGCTCTAATATGGTTGTTGTATTCCCTTATGAGATGTTATTTGACCACATGCGTTTATCTTGAGAAGAAATTTCTTTCACATGTAAAATATTTTACTAGGGAATTTAGAGCAAGTCAAAGTTAAATATTACTCATTCACCATACACAATTTTTTGCTCAACACACACTGAGGAAACAAGTTTAATATATGTTTAAGCCGTTTCTTAACAGTGAGAGAGCACTTGAACCAATAGATAGCCAAGCCAAATTAAATAATCACATTTAATTTATTGATACGGCATTGCGGAGGTAATCGCAGACAAACTGATTATAGAAGGTTCATATCGCATTGGGCGTTGCTCCAGTGAATATAAACCTCCCATTTCGTTGCGACGTTTTTGTTTTAGATGGCGATATTTATTTCCGACATTATACAATCCGTGGAACGAAGTACAACAACAGGCGAGGAAAAAGGTAGAAAGAAACGCACATTTTACCAATACACGAGCACATTAGTACGGTAAAGTCCAGGGCGAGTATCTTTCTGACTTGCACTCAGCAGGTACCCTTGGGATATTGGAATCTAACTTAGCTTACAGATCCGGAAAAACACCGTGTGGAAACACGAGGCTCATAGGACAAAAGAGCGTACACGCCAACCGGGCAAAAATAAGTCCACTACAAAACCTCGGCGATCAAGTGTTTACACTCTACATATATAAGCCCGGAACCAAGGTACGCGCAACAGAAATCGGATGTGACCCAGGTTCCCTTGCACGAGCATTCACAGCTTAGAAGTTCCATGGTGCCTGAACTGCAACGCCATTTGTTCGACACGAACTATATACTACGTCAAGGAGCTCTTGTTTCTGTCCGCGTGCATGGTGGCTTGTGCAAGCCATTGCCTCCCGAATTCCTAGCGAAGTATATTTTCTAAATAAGGCACCTCGGCTACACGGAGATACGTTCTAACTCGAGCGAGAGAGAAACTCGGTTATTTATATTGATGGTGGGCGTAAAGCACCAATCTTCCCCCTATTTCTTTCCTTTCCTGCCAATGTAGTAAACAAAAGCTACAAAAATACAACTAACAAGCTTAATGCAGGGCGGGAATGTGGGCCGGAGCTTTAATATGGTCCACCGTTCTACGATATCGCCAACCTGCCATAAAAACAAAAACGAATCTTGAAAATGGAAAAAGAAAGCCAACCTCAGTGGCCGGAGGAGGGGCGTTGTTCGCTTTTCACAGTCTTAAAATAAGCATTGAGAATAAATTCACTCGCATTTTTGGCACTGTGACGGTTTCCCCTCGCCACTGTGCATTGTGTTTGCAAATCCAGAAATATTTTTGAACATTTGACGTGAGGAACGTATCTCAAAACTGAAGCTGTAAAGGTCGATGGAAAATTGCTGGAATGTGGTCGCCAGAGTAATAACATAAAAAAAATTCACCCTAGGCCTCACGTCATCGTCGCGGTTTAATACTCCGAAAGCTCGAGCTCCTTGCTTGCCATGCCGCCCGCAAGTTCGTCTGCCTCTTGTGCAGGGGTCGTGGTGACGTCAGAACGCTTAGCTCTGATTGGCTCTGAATGAAAGATAATAAGCAGACCTCAAGGCAACATGCTTTGAGGTCTACCCACTATCCTTCAATCAAGGCTAATCGAAACTCGGCGTCTTTCTGATGTCACCGCCCCCATTGTACAAGAAGCAGACGATTCGCTCGCCGCATTACGCGTCTCGATATAATTTCGTGCCGATTTTATTTACTTTTCGTGAAGCGTGTTGCACGAGTGCCAAACATCCGCAGACGTGAGCCGTGTAGACCTTTCCAAACATCACCTTCTGCACGCTGCCATCTTTGTCTGCTGGGATGTGGAACGCCTTCTGAGCGTGCTCTGTAACTCGGTTGTGCGGTATATTAGACCCTGCTCATGCGTCCACAGCTCGGTGACTCTGCCATTTTCGCACGGTCACTTCAGCTGATGACGTAATGCCTGGATGCGAGGGGGAGAGTTTTTCGTCAAGCGCCGGATATTGCAACTTATCGTACAACTTATAGTGTCGTGAACGCTGCTATTAGGCGCCGGTGAATACAGTCATCTGGGCTTCAGAGAGCTTAGCGTAAAATACTCATACGTTAGGTTCCATATGATCGTGCACTTCCTTCTGGTGAAAAAGAGGTGCAGTAAAAGTTTTAACACTTTCTGGTGGTGTCAGAGAAATTTCGTACATGGTATAACACACATGTGGAATAGCGTAGATTTACTGAATAGTTCTAAGGTATTTAAAAACTGTTTCGTTCTTAATGTGACAATGAAGTGTCCATTAAAGTACGCACGCTGAAGTTTTTTTTTTTTGGGGGTGAGGGGCAGAGAACGGCAATGGGAACTATTCAGTGAGGCGGTGCTATGCAGGCTGTAGATTAGTCACTCCAACTTGCTTAAAGGCCTCTGGTCTCAAATTATTTCTTTCCACTAAAGTTTCCTTTACGAGCAACCTCGACATATAGTCTGGCGCGCGTAATCTCAAACCGGAGCGGTGTGGTGCCTTAAGTCACCCACAATACTCTGTCACTATGCAGGGTGTAGGCGAAAATGCACTTCGGCACTAGCGAAACTGGGGCGCTTCAGTGCGTTCGCTCATTAAGGCAAACAATCAGTGTGTAAAAAATTATAAGCAAGGTGAAAACTTCAAATTTACGCTACGACTGTGTGATATTCCGCCATGATGACAACTTAAATTTGCCAAGAATAAACGGGATGAAGTCCTGCGTTCAAGAGTATATAAAACGCGTACTTGCCCAATTTTTTTATGGATATGTAGGCGCATATTACCGACATATTTACTTCAGTTCTTTTTGTCTCGGTTTTTTGCTTTTCAGCACTTTGCTCTGTCGAAAGTTTTCTCCTCTCGCATGGTCTTAAAAAAAAAAGAAGCTTGCCAAATCTGTGTCAATGTGCTTTTTTTTTTTAAGTTCTGAGCACGCGCAGGCCCTTCTCACGCGGCGGCGCAAGCTCGAACTACGGTTGGTGTACCGAAGAGATGTTGCACTACCTCTACAGTCTCATATGCGACGCATCTGATTCGCGGTGGTGGCAGGAGATGTAGTGCAGCTCCCCTTTCAGGCGGCACTGGCACTTCGAGCATTGGCTGTTTGGTGCCGTCCTTCTGTAAAAGAGCGCCCCCTTGCTTTCAGGCGGAGTGTGCGGCTCTGATACTTGCGGACATATGTACAGATACAAATTACTACGAGATGTTGCTTCAAATTGCACCGGAGCTGGAGAAGTCGGCGCCGGGAGAGTTGAAAAGCCAAAGGTGACGATTCGCGTCTTGACTTTGATGATGGCGCACAGCTTGGCAGCTGGCTGTCTTCGAAGCGCCGTAACTCTTGATGCCTTCTTCCAGGCTGCCGTTCCTGAAACACGTCATCACCATCGGCGACACCCGGAAGCCGTAAGTACCCTAGAATCGTGATGTGAATCGTGTATTAAGAGTATTACTTTGTCATGGTTAGGTGACAAAGCAATGCGCAGGCAGGAAAAACAAAATGAAACGAAATAAAGAAACAACGCAACACTGATGAAGTAAATACCCCCCGACGAAAAGCGCCACAGGATCGCTGGCATCGAATATTTTCGTATAACTAATGCCGCTGACAGGTGCAGAGTTTTGTGAAATCTGCTCCCATCTCTTTTCGATTTAACAGAACGAACGCTGGTGAGCATGTCGCCATTTCTTCACGTACACTCTGCAAATGGAAGAAGAAGTGGGAGGAGCTTCCCTCACACTTATCCTGCCACCGATTATAGACTGTTCGAGGGATGAAAGCGTGCCAGTCTGTTCGCTGGTCGTAATCGTCTACAAGGAAATGTTTTTCTCTCAATTACACTTACTAGTTTGAATCCACCCTTACCTCATCCATCCTACTCGCCGAGTTAGCACCGCCAGAGGTCCGCCTGTTCCCTGCAACTCGAGTTTTGTTTATTCACGGGTTGGCAGCATTGAACCACCGAAGGTAGAAGTGCGTAACACTCAAGGGGGACTACGTGAAGAAGTCCTAAGTTTTAATTTCGTCTTATTTGGCAGAAACAATGTCTTCACAATGAGGCTTACTACAAAAACGTCAGTCGTTTGTACGTTCTATAAAAACAGTTTTTCTTCAATGTTTATTCAAACTAGGCCGACACCAGTGTTGTAGCCCTTACCCAAGAGAGGTAACGAAATACGTTAATCCGTACTTGAAAACAAAATGGAAGTGTTACCGACCTACGTTACCTCAAAATAAAAGAAACGCGCTACCGTAAGCTATATAAAGTAGAGCACGCCACAATTTCGTTACTTTTTATTTAGCAATTAAAACGGGTAGTGCTTGGCTGTACAGGTATGCATAGGGGCCATATCTCATGAAACATATTCACGGAGGAAGTGAACATAATTACTTCACCTTGTTTTACGGTTTCACCTAAAGACTCACGAACAACAACGCAAAGAAAAGCGTAAATTATCTCAAAAATTCACATGACTTGGCGCCTAACAGCACGGAAGAATTTAAAGAGAAATGTTTCTAAGTCTTGCGAAGAAGTAACGAGTAACATAACTCCGTTATCCGTTACAAGTAACTGCACTACAAGTAACGCCATAACTTGCAAAGCCTTACCACCAACACTGGCCGACACAACCTGGTTCGAGATTAACTCCACTAATATGACTCATCGTAGCAACGGTTGATGCCATTAGCTTTGAAGTGTTTCTTAGCAAAGACTCGTTTTTGCCGCTTGAAAGAAATCGTAAACTCTGGCGCTGAGAGAAACGCATCAAGCGCTCCGCACAGAAACGAACTGCTTCCGTGCGGAGCGCAGAAGCAGTTCTCCCACCACGTAAGTGGTGATTCATTGACTCTTCCATATCCCGCAGCGGCAGCATTACTTTCGATGACCTGATGACTTTGGCGATAGCGGAAGACCATGCCACCATGAATTCCGTGTCTGCCAAAACGCGGTTCGACCAAGACGCTTTCATCCAGTTTTCCTCGGTGAGTGCTTGAATTCCCAGGACCGTTCTTATATTTCACAATACCAGCATCGCACATGAAACTATGCTCTTAAAGTAAACCAACGTCATGGTGAGCAATGGAGCAGAACAGCATGTGGAGGCCGTACCCTGAAAATCGAAACAATCCTGCAGCGAGTAAGAAGCGGCCGGTGCTCACAGGGGCTTCTGAGGTCTTGAGCACCATGCTTACAGGTTGCATAAATTCGCCCTCCCAGAAGATCCTAAGACACATCGCGATTATTCCCGATTGCACGACCCGCCGCGGTGAATTGTGGAGCGGTTCAGTGGAGGCTTTGACGGACTCAGTCGCTTCGCATATAGAGAAGCGGCGCGTCTAATTCTTCCTGGCATTATAAACGAAGAAGACAAAAACATTTACTCGAAGCAAGATCGACACATACTGTGTTGTCGTCCTGCCTCTTCATCATTATTATATTGGAAATGGTTAAGCAAATATAAAGTTCTCTTTTTATGCGTAGCTACGTTTCCATGCACGTATTGCCGTAATGCGTCAAGCAGGCACACAGGTGCCGTCTATTGTCAAAATGGTCCATTCAAATCAGGCAGATGACATAATCGACTCGAAATCTTCGCAAACGGAGATTCGCCCATTGGATTTTTTTTTTTTTATTGAATGAGCGGCTGAGCACTCAATGCTATCTTCACGTCGCATAAAATAACTCACGAAAATAGATTTCAATACATTCGTCAATTTTCGTGACCTAGGCATAGCAGAAGCGCTTTTTCTACGAGATAATATAGATTTAAATGACGTCAGTCTTACGTTCGGTTTGCCTTAGTGCATACGTGAGATTGAGGAGCAATATAAAGTCTCGAGTATCAACTAAACAAAAAAAAAATGCATTCCATTCGACGTAGACAAGGTGAGAGCAATGTGACCTCTTGGCTTGGCTGTCATCCAACGAGTACCCGTGCGCCGCCTCTGCCATAGATTATCCAGACGGCACGCGGATGGTGCGCTTGGCCTAGCGCTCTTGACCACTACGCGGTACAAATATGGCCTTCTGGTCCGAGCGTTGGCCAACCTGGCCGGCCAGGATCATGGGAGTCGCCCCGGCGCCCTCAATTTATGGGGGTATATGAGGGCTGACCTGCCGGGTGTTGGAAACACACATAACCCTTTTATGACTCGTGCCGCTAGAGCAAGAAAATTTTGGTCCTTATGAATACACGGAGTTTCAGCTGTTGCTCTCAAAAATCTGTAAACAGGCTGTGGCTGAGTACAAATATTAAAAAAAAACTCGGGTATAAAATTCCAGCAACGGTTGACGCCAATGATCGACAAATTTATAGTAATTTCTTAAATAATTCACTAAACATTACTAATTAACTTAAGTTGCGCCAATAAACAACTGGTTTCATTGATAAACTTGTTAAGCATCGTGGGAAACCAATAAATTAACTCATTTTGGAAAGATATTAGCCCGGAGCAGCATCCACGGCGTTCCGAAACGAAAACTCTATATTTGGAAAGGTTTCTAGATTTGGGTTTCCTGTCGGAGCGCATCTTTGCGGTCCAATTCTCAAGTAGCCTCGACGCACAACACACGTGCGCCATACTACCGGGGAGCAGTGCCGCTGGGGCAGGTATGCGCTCCAATAAAAAAACCGAGACCTAAAAACTCTTTCAAATTCAGCGGTTTTTTTTTTTTTTTTTCAGTTTTTAGAAGGTTACAAAAGTTAATTTTGTGGCTTTCGAAGATGCTTAGCAAGTTCTCAATAAAACCATGTGTTTATTTTAACTACTTAAAAATTAATGAGCAACTTTTCTTTTTTACTTATTTAGCTTATTAGCGCGCCTTTTCAATTTTTGACGTCCTTCGTTGTCTGGAATTTCGTTCCTGGTTTTTGTTTGTTTCTCAAGCACTCTATTTTTAGGGACCTTTAGAAGCCTTCGCTGAAATACGCGTGCCGGTATAGAGATGCAGATATACCCAGTGATATGCCTTATTGCAAACATAATCTAAAAACAAAGAGTGCAAAAAGCTAGTTGAATGCCATTTTCGCCAGGTGCATGTCGAGATAAGCGGACATTATAGAAGCTGATACAAGAAACAGTCTGTTGAGTAATTGACTAAGATCAGTTAATTGTTTTCTAGATTAGTGAATTTAAACACGTTGTCTCAATTCGAAATTTGCTGAGCGTAATCGAAAATCATAAATGAGTAAATTTTAGAACGACACGAAACACTTCGAAACACGTGGTGCAGCACCAGCGTTATCACTTGTGCTGCATGGCACAAACATAGCAGTGCGTAAACGCGGGTGATTAGATTCTTATCCGTGTTTTCCCGCCGCTAGCTTTGCGGCAGCTGGTAACTTTGGTGCACTCTGCGTCTCTCACGTGCTTCGAATAGATCTAAATTGGCCTGCTTTAGTGGTTTTCGATGATGCTCATCAAGTTTCTAATTGAAACCATATGTTTGTTTTCAAATATTAAAATTAACAAAAATAATTGTGGGTAACTACTCGACGGACTGTGGCGCTTATCCGATCCTATAATGTCCGCCGAAATCGAAAAACGCTTATCGAAGACGGCATTCAGCTAGCAGTTCGTACTGTTATTTGAAAATTATATTTTCATTCAAAATATCACCCGGCATATTATATATTTCGGGCCATTAAGCGAGTTTGACCGTGCGGTGCTACTCCAAAGCTAACCACTAAAAATCGTATCCTTCGCTGCTATTAAGGCAAGGCGTGATAGAGTCTAAATATCTCCGTAAAACATCACCCTGTCTTCTTAAGCGACAAATATTGCAAAATATCACACGTGCTTTTCTTTTTTTTTTCCCTTTTTGAACGCAGGGTACGACAGGGCAGCCCAAACCAGCGCGACTGTCTCATTTCAACGTTGTCAACAACGCCAACATTGTGGGCCGCTTTGTTGGATACCATAAACAGGTATCATATTTATTGTTTTTTTACGACTACAACTAGAGCTATTTTAGGCTAACTATTGTATAATATTTTCAGATTAAATTTAAAGTACGTAGTCGACGAAGTAACCGATGTCATGTGCATCATCTATTGCCGGGTGTTTCATCAACTAGTGAAAATCGTTGAACCCCTTCCTCCGGTGTAAGAGCTCGACGTGACGTAATATTCATTGATTTCGGGAACTCTGTCAACATAACTTGAGGATAGCTGCCATATAAAGGAACATATCGACAACCACTCTTGTATTCCCGCTGGGGATAGAAATAGTATTCGTTTTGTCGTTCACGCAGAAGGAACATTGTTTGCCATCGGTGCAAATGAGGGCATTCCTGATATTTTAGTGGCAATGTTGAAAACGCCTTTCCACAGATGGGTTTCAAGACTACCGTGCACATGGGTATTGACGACATAAAGTCATCTGCCTCTTACAATATCTTACGTCTGCTGCACCTGCACGTTTGACTCCATGTACCACCACGATGCCACCTGCCAAAAAAGTAATCGAGCTGCTGACTTGGGTTATTGTTTTCTTGTAACGTAATATAAACGTAACGTCCAGTAATACAGCGGATAACAGGGGTCTCCAACTCATTCGTGCGTGGGGGTCTGATACCTTACCCCCGAAAGGGCGAGGGAAAACGGGGAGGGAAGGGGGGAACAATATATATATATATATATTTGATACAAAAAAAAAAGACATTTAAACAGATGTGGTATTTTACGTTCCGACGCAGCCGAATGTCGCAGTAACACCCCGGATGTTCGTTAGGAAGGAACCTTGTGCTTTCTGCTTTTCTGAGGTCACCATTTTGCCATATTTAGCTTTTATTCGCACATACGACAATTTTGGGACCCCGCCTGCTCTTATAAGAAGATTTAAAATACGAACCTACTGGCCTCTTTGAATAGACCGAGAACAAAGCACACCGTCTTTGAACTGTCGCATAATTCTCTATTTTCAACCCAGGTGCAGATAAAATAACTTATATGACAGTTTTTGCTTTCTGGGCGATGTTTATAGCAGCAGTATAAGAAAAACACTCGCAATTTAAATGCATTTCCGACCGCTAAAACCCCGAGCTCATAGTTTCATTTGCGACAGTTGTTCCTGCTGAGCAAGAATTTGTCCAGCCCAGGTGCCTCTTTGAGCAAAGAGCTCGCATTTGTAGCCTAGCAGTTTCAGTGCCACTCCGTCTGATTTACACCAGGACTACCTCCGAAGGAAATATTTAGACGAAATAGGATTTCGGCAAGAAACAAAGAAGCATAGAACTGCAAAACGTGCAGATACGTTTTATGAGCAGAGCTTCTTTCCCAGAGGAAATGAATTGGCGGTATAAAACTTTTATTTATTGCACATGTGGAGGTTGAGGGATAGGAAGGGAGGCTCGCGGCCATGGGGTGCTTCCGGGCCACATCCCAGAGAGTTGTTGACCGCTTGTGGCCCGCGGGCCCCGTGTTTGGGACCTCTGGCGAAGAATGCACAGGGTGAGGCAAGAAGGACTAACACACATGTCACGCTTTGTTAAATTCGATTGCCAATGCGAACGTTTTTTCACCAGAAGTATTATGCTTTTTCTTAAAGCTCGAGACTAACGTCATGAAATATTAAATATAGAGCAAGAACGGCGACTTATAGATTAAACCTTAGCATAGCGTGAGCGCTTAATTTGGGCTCGTGATAACCGATAGCTCGACAAGCATTCGGCTAGTCGCCCGTGTCCAATCGCCGCAATGACGACAATCGCCGAACCCTACTAATGCTTGGAACTCAACGCGTGTTCTGTGCTTTGCTAACCCCAGCGCGTGGCTATGATCAACATTGTCGGCATATAATTGGCTCTAGACCACGTGGTCGCTTGTTCGGGTTGCGAGTTGAGAGGGTAAACGCCGCTCCTTTCTCTTTAATTCTTTCTGCGACGTTTACTGCGGGGGGAGAAAAATTGACGACCGTTTCTTTGTGTCATAAACGCCAGGGATACGTTCTAAGCGGTATTGGCGCAGAGCAGAAAAATTGTTGCACCACCCTTTCAGTATAGTTTTTTTTTTCTTTGATTCACTAGTTGACTAGTTCGATAGGGTATGTAAAGTCACTATAGCCCTTGCAAAGTGAAAACGGCAGGGCGTGACTTTCAAACGCCTGGTACACGACGGAAGGCATGCGCCCCATGCCTTCCGTCGTGCTTTCACCGCGCGCTCGAGGTGCGCGAGACGCCGAGGCGTTGTCAAGTGTAGAAGGCTCGCGCTGGAGGCGAGACAAATGAAGCTGCTCCATACTGTTCTCACCTTGTCGGAGACTATTGAGAAAGTTGGCGACTTTTGAGACCTAGCCAAGATGTACCATGTTCAATAAAACGACAACAGAAAGTCTGTAGATTCCATTGACAATGGCTTCAGAGAGTCAACTGAACATCTTCAAGCACGAAGTAAACTGGACGTCTCCAGTTTTTCCGATGACACTGCCACCAAGAAGTCAGGAGAAAAAATATCTACATAAAGGTAATAGAAAGTCAACAGGTTGAAGGCTGAAGAAAAACATTAAGAAACGTTTTAATACAAAGTGAACAAACGTTATGTTGACCACGTCAAGAGGAATTCAAAGTCGAAAGTAACCAAAGTGAACAAGAAGACAACATGTTTTTAATAAATAGTCAAAAGTAATTATTATGGGTATATATATATATATATATATGTGTGTGTGTGTGTGTGTGTGTGTGTGTGTGTGTGTGTGTGTGTGTGTGTGTGTGTGTGTGTGTGTGTATACCCTCAATTTATTATTATTTATTAGCCTTAACCTTTGCCACTGATGTTACATGTTCCGCCTAATCTTAGCTCCCGCTCTTCTGTAGAGTGTTAATTACGTCATGGACGCGCCAGGTACTGGTATCGAGTCAAATAGAAGAAAAACAAGCAATAAATCGTCGAAGGGGCCTGTCAATCCTTCAAAATGATGAGCTTTCAAGCTTCAAACATGCACGACGGTACTGAACATTTTTATGTATATATATAGAAACTTTGTCCTCCGCTGATCTACGAAACAGTGCAGAATTTCGGTCTCCGCAATCCGCAAAGATTCACCCCAAATTCCCTGGAGGTTAGGATTTCGATAGCAAGGAAAACAACAGTCGACGGAGTGGGAGAACTGAAGGGGCCTTAAAGCCTGGGAACTGATTTTATTTTTTTTAACACCAGGAGAGCCGCGTTGCCACAAGTAGTGTAAGTTGGGGTAAAATGAGGCGCGGGGCAAAATGCAACAGCATTTTGCCCTGCGCCTCATTTTAGCGCCATCCGTCTCCTAGACCAGCAATTCGAGCACGTTTAAACTTCACCGGGCGGTGCGGTGACACTTACAGTTTGTGTGTGTAAAAAATCAAAGTTGTCGGCAAGAGTGTTCCCGATATACCAAATGCGGAGTTGAGGTTGCTGTGTTTGTCCCCTCCAAAAAGGAACAAAATTCAGCGCGAGGTTTTTTCTCGATACAAGCATTTAGGTTGGCACCGACTATTCTGCCAAGGTAAGCTTCAATTCTATTGGTATACTTTAATAACTCATGCGGACCACAGTTGAGCGATCTGTTTTTGTTTTTTTTTCTTTTTAATATATTTATTTACATAACGGGATATGTGGGGGGGGGGGGGGGGGGGCACTGGGCAAAACGCGAGTATTTTGATTGAGTCATGTTATTTTTCCACCGATGTCTAGGATAGTCCGAACGTATAAAGGCCTGCCTAAAGCCAAAGTGACACGAACAAAGCTCTTGAATCCGTGAAGCAACAGCCTCACCGCTTCGCACTGCCGGCACAATGTTTGGCGTACCAAAGTGTGCGCTTCAAAGGCGTGCCAGACAATCTTGGAAAATGTAAAAAGCAGCGGCTCTACAAAAAAAAAAAAAAAAAAAAAAAAGAAGCCTTTAAGATTCGAGAGCATTTTTTCTGTACCTAGCGTAGAACAGAAAAAAAAGTGAACAAGTTCGTCGGAGAGCAGCACTGTTCTAACGTCCTCTTCCACAAGGCAGAGCTGATGTTGGCGGAAACAACCAAGAACCGGCGCTTCACGCGTCGCAATCCCCCCCCCCCCCCCCCCCCCCCCCCCCCGCCCACACACACACACTCACAACAATAAAAAAAGAAAAAAAAAAAGAAAAGTTAAAAACAAACGTGAAATTGATCCCCGAAGAAGCACGCAGTGTCCGCGCTTTCTGCAACCGTGCGATGCACACCTCATGAAACTGGCAGTGCCTGCTACCCAATGAACTGTGAAGAAAAGCACCCACTCATTCATTATGTTTCCAATGCATGAAATGCAAGGAGTAGGCTCAGAAAGAGTGTATAGCAGTTGACACAATGTGTTTTAAGTGTTTTATTGAAAACACTGAACGCACATCTGGGTTTCTATGTGTGGCTCTTTGCGCCCCTCTACGTCGTCGCATTTTGCCCCACAGGGTGGGCCAAAATGAGACTGTGTTACATATAGTGTAGTTTTGTTTAATGTTTCGTTTGCTCCAGTTAAGTAATCTTCATTGAGCAGAGGGGCAAGACATCTAAGAATATCCCGATGATGTGTTTGTTTTAAATAATAAAACAATATTTAAAAAAAGGTAAAATATTTTATCTCATTTCGCCCACATTACCTTAAGCAGTTACTTCCTTATTTTTTTAGATGTATGCTTTCTCACGCCGGTTAAGAATAGATAACTCGGGACGCAAGACAATAGAGAGCTAAGCGTTACCGTTTGTCTCTAATTTACACAAAAACAAGTAAACTATAATGGTTCTCATTTTGGCTTACTGGCTGAGCACACGTATGCTTAGTTCCCGCTGTCCGAACGACGTCGGGGTGCTGATGTTCTAGGGTGGTACTATCAAGGAATAAAGAGACAAACTAATGTAGCAGAACGCTCATGTTCTGGTACTTTTCATCCACTGTTACTAGCTGCAAACACTGCGCAATCTAGAATCGGAGGAACTTGACCTTAGTTAAAACTAAGAACAGCAGGAATGGCACAACGATTTCAAGACATGGGACATTCTTAACACCCAACACAAACTCCCATGATCGGAAACGTTGCGCTTGTGCTGTCCTCTCCTGCCTTGTTCGTTTTGTATTTTGTGCAAATATGTTTATATTATTCAACCAACTAGGCCGCCAACTTGATTTGTTTTGTTGTTAATGTGCTGACAATAAATCCTGCCATTAAAAGTTCCTCAAGCGCTTCTACGGAGCTCGTCGTTCTCAGCTAAAAGATTTCCGGCCTTGAAAGTTCCGAATTTAAGTGATAAAAAAAAAGTGCCGAGAATGACGCTTGTCGAATCGAATACACGCAAGAACCCTTTTTCCAATTACAGATAACTAATTTGTTTAAAAATCGGCAAAAAATCGTCACGTCAAGGAAACAAACCTCCTAACGGCGCCTGAAAGAATAGCATAACTAAAGACCAAGTGTTCACAAGCATGCACAAGTATTTAGTTTCGGAATGTAACCTTTTCTAGAGCTTCATGGTTATGACAAGAACAGGTTTCTTCGCTTTACTTTGCAATTTCAAAAGGTCAAACAGACTAGTGCCAGTGTCATACACGTTCTTGCGTTCCTAAACTTATTCACGATCACTACACTCCTTATGGTTTCAGTAAGCACAACCGCTTTGAAGCAAGTTTTGACCGGCACAAATTCCGCCACTTTTTTATGTCTGCGAGGCTCAGGAAAATGAAACAGAATAAATTTTATTCGCGTGAAATAGTCGATACGAATTTTGCTGGTTTACGAAAGTACATCCTCTTTGTGCGAAGGGCCTAACAACCAGCAGAGAAGCGTATAGTGAAAAAGAAAAGAAAAATATTAACAGTTCCCAGCAGGTCGTCACTCAAAGGAAAAAAAGCAACATTACTAAGTTACAAAAAAAAAAACGGTTTTGTGTTTATAGACCGTCATCAGTGCACTGCACCATGAAACGACCAGGTTTAGATTATAAAAAGAAACATAATCGGTGCAAAGAAATTTAAAAAAGAAAACGAACTATAATATAATTAGTCAAACTGTGCAAAATTAAAGTAGTATTTTTTTAATTGCCTCGTACAAAGAAGGAATGTTCTTGTTTGCAGCGTGAAATCTTCTGCCTGAACGGACAGCTGATCTACGGATTCGGCAGAACACTGGGCGTCTTGACTGCCACGATGTTCGGCTCCACGGTAGTGTTGCCGGGGCCTTTCTTCGAGCCGAAATCGACCATGGAAGCCATCACAAAGCACAGGTGACAAGAAGCGTTCATGAATTCTCTACTCTTCCCCCGCGTACGTTGTTTAGCATTACAAAGGGATGCCCATATTTCGGCATTGTACTTTACGCCAGCGGCGCATACTAATTCGTATTCCGTTATGGAGGAATTCGCACATCAAAACTGGGACAGGTTTATTGCATCCTAGCGTTAGACAGTATCTTCATCAATATTAGTGTAGTTGTTTGAAGTCAGTTAATGTATTGTGCCAGCTGGAAATAAAACGTGAATAAGCTTGTGGTCGAATGCTTTCTTATTCCCTGTAGAAAAAAAAACATATTTGTATCCCCTCGTGAGCTGACTTAGGTATTTTCGATATCAAAGGAGATATATAAATAACCCCAGAAAATAAACGGCCTCAAACGCTGCAAGTCAAGGCATAAAAATATTAGTTTCGTATTGTGTTCTTTGTATGCAGTTGTACCAGAACATTTTTTAGACATTTGCACTCTTCTCCCCAACATGCAGCCAGACGGACAGAAGCGATCTGAAACACGGCTGTCTAGGAGGCACAGTTTTTTTTTTTGTTCTGTTTTTAAAATAAAAAAAGAAGAAAGCATCACGTTTTTTTTTTTGTTTTTTTTTTCTTTTTAGGACAAGATCTACAAAAAATCAACTAAGAAAATGCTTCGATTACCAGTTGTGTAATAACTGAGACTACTTTTTTTATACCCGTGGGAAACTTTCCGTGGCATTTTCGACGAGATGAAGTGTGCGCGTGCACAACTTTATTTGGCGTTCACGCACGCACTCCCGTACCTTTGCCTGTATAGCCAAAGAAAGTGTTCAGGAGTACAATCACAAGCTGCCTGTAATCGTAGCCCACCTTTTTTTGGCATTACAGCCACGTGGTGGATGCGAAACAAGGCAAGTTTTCTCCCAGTCAATAGTGTGCTTCATAGGTGTACGGAAACAAAACTTGAAATATTCAAATTTCTTTTTGAAATGAGACAGGTATGACGGAAAATAACCGTAAGTGATAAACGCACGTTTGTATTTTGAACGACTGGCTATATTTTTCGTTCCAACCGGTGCACTTGAGCAAGCGCTCGGAGAGAAGCGAACCTAGAGCGCGATGCGTCATGGGATATCCAGCGCAAACAAAAACAAGAAGAAAAGATTCCCCGCATTCGTCACGTAGCAAGGCTGGCGTGGTTGTGAGCTTTGCCCTTGGTGGCGTTGTCAGCGTTGTGGTGTTGTCAATGACGTCAGCGCGTTACAACCGAGCCGTTCGAAGCATAGAGTTATTACAATAAACGCTAGAGGCTCAGCTGGTTCTAGTGTGCTGTTGCATTTTGAAGCAGACAGCAAGCAGTCGGAAAAAGCGAGTGCATTTTCTCTCTGCGCTCGACTATAAGAGCAAATATCACGAACAATTTGTACGTACTAGGCACATTGGAACATTTCTCAGTCATAGAGAGGAAATAATCAGTCAGTTAGAGTATTTTTATTTGAAATTCGTGGCATGAAAAACGGCGTTAAAACCGCTCCGTAAGTGAATTTATGTGCACTGTCGGACACTGTTAGCGCGAACACGGCGTTGACGCTTTTCAGCATGGGGGATGTACGTGCCAAACGAACGAAATACATGTGGAAAACCAAGAGAGATGGTAAGAACTACGCAGTAACACTGGATAAGTTACTTCTTGTGGACGCAGAAGATCAATATAAATTGAACGCCACGTAATATAGTCAGATTTGCAATAAATAAGTACTGCTTTATTTTTTCTGCTCATGAATATATGCGAAGGTGCTTGTTCTGGTTTCAAATCCTCACCCGCACGCTCCAAATCTTTGCAAATAGGGGAAGCCAGAGAGCAGGTGCCAGATAAAAACTGCCCCTCATAGGAAATAATCAAAAGACACACCTTTCGTAGCTAACGTGCTTTATTTTTTGTGTTCGAATGTTTCTTTAACCGATCGTAAAGATGCACGACGGGGTCATTTTCATCCAGTGACACGACGCCGAAATGCTAGCAAACCTTGAGCACACTCTACATTCCTTTTGATCGTTAGTTTGCTTAGTATCGTCGCTCGTTTTCACATACCTTCCTCGGAACAGAGGTTTGGGCCTGAAATAGAGCGAAGTTTAACATCGTTCAGTGGTAAAGAAAAATGCTGTAACTAAAGCAATTACACTTTCACAATACCAATAAAGGTACATTCTAGCCGGTACAACGGAAATGACAAAATTTATTGTTGTGGCGGTCCTGCGAATGAGAAGACGACGAAAAGGAGGACAGGAAGAAGGCGCGAGAAAGAGGACGGATGGTGATGAACGTTGAGCGCCGAACGCTGGGATTTTAAACCGTTTTGATTTTTCAAGTTGCCTTTGTGGCTGGAATATCTGAGAAATGCATTCTTGGACTCGATTTTCTACAGGCGAATTGTTGTTCACTGGATCTCAAGAGTCACACATTGGACGTAAGCGACGAACACGTCATCTTGTACAGCCAACGAGCAATTTTAGAAAACGGCGGGGGATTCCTTCTATGCTCCAAGTCCAAATTGATTTCTCCACAATGCGAAAACGTTATCTGGGTGACGGACGGCAATAACTGCTCGGATGGTATTGTGGTCGCTGAAAGAGACGCCAGGTGCGATACTATTCCAGGAATCATTATAGCAAGAACGCTAATAGACTTCGGCAACGAAAAGGCTCCTATCCGCATTGCCAACCTAACGGATAAACCTATCCACCTAAAGAAGGGGTGTCGCATTGCGAAGTGGTCCCGTGCTGTGAGCTTTACTCCCCCACGAAAGGATCTTGTCCATATGACACAAGAGGAATTGCCGGCTTCCTTGCTGGATCTAGCAGGCCTCTCCAAATGCCACCTTGATCAAGCACAACAAGCACATCTCATGAGTTTACTCAACGAAGAGAGAGATGTGTTTGCTTCTTCTTTGGAGACCGGACGGACAGGTGTTGCTCAACACCGCATCGATACAGGAAATGCAGCTCCGATTAAGCAACAGCCCTGGCGAATTTCGTTGGCAAAACGTAACGAAGTCGGCCAGATGATCCAAGATATGCAACAACGAGATGTTATTAAGCCTTCATCCAGCCCGTGGGTGTCGCCGGTCGTTTTGGTAAAGAAAAAAGATGGCAGCACGAGGTTCTGCGTTGACTACCGACGATTGAACGATGTCACCAAGAATGACTCCTATCCACTCCCTAGGATTGATGACCCATTCGACGCGATTGCGGGGTCTTCCTGGTTTTCCACATTAGACCTCAGGAGTGGATACTGGCAAGTTGAAATGAACCCAAGAGACCGCGAGAAGACGACATTCTCAACTGGAGATAGTCTCCGACAATTCAAAGTAATGCCGTTTGGCCTTTGTAATGCCCCTGCAACGTTTGAGCATCTCATGGACCAGGTCCTAAAGGGCCTGCCGCTGGACGTTTGCTTGGTTTATCTGGACGATATACTTGTGCACGGCAAAACTTTCCAGGGAGCACTTTGTAATTTGTCACTCGTATTCGACCGTCTGAGAAAGGCAAACTTGAACCTAAATGCCAAGAAGTGCGTTCTATTTCAAAAGAGAGTGCATTATCGCGGTCACATCGTCTCTGAACAAGGAATGGAGACGGACCCTGAGAAGACAGAGTGCGTCAGAAACTGGCCTCAACCTCAAAATCAGCGCTACGTTAAAAGCCTCCTTGGACTGTGCACCTACTACCGGCGATTTGTAAAAGGTTTCGCCTCAATTGCCAAACCGCTGTACGCTTTATCATTACAGAATACGGCGTTTGAATGAAGTGTACAAGCACAAGATTCTTTCCTCACACTCAAGAATTCCCTTAGCGCCCCTCCAGATCTTGGATTTCCTCGACCAGTCTGCAAGTTCGCCATCGATACCGACGCGAGTAACGTCGGTTTGGGTGCTGTGTTGTCCCGGATTCATGATGGCTCTGAAAAAGTAAATGCGTACTATAACAAAGTTCTAAACATGGCAGAACAGAACTACTGCGTTACGAGAAGGGAGCTCTTGGCAGTTGTAAAAGCCGTGACCCATTTCCATCATTACTTGTAAGGCACAAAGTTCCTCTTAAGGACTGATCATGCATCCCTCACTTTGCTTTTAAACTTGAAGAACCCGGAAGGCTAAGTAGCTAGGTGGTTAGAGCGGCTGGCACAATACGAGTTCAGGATTGAGCATAGACCGGGCAAGGGACCTTGCTTGTCTGGCAACTGTCGCCCATGCCTGAAAAGCGAGCAGCGCCTTCCATTGGACTGCCAACCGTTGTCGTCCTCCCAAACGGCTGCGTGCCCTGCGATGGTAGAACAGCAGCAAGATGACCAAGACCCAACAATCTGGACTGCATAGTTTCTCCGTGTGCTTCAAGAAAACGACAGCAATTTGCAACCTATTTTGCAGTGGAAGCGGGTGGGAGAAGTACCCAGCTGGAACGTGGTTGCACCATACAACAGCGTCGTGAAAGCATACTGGGCACAATGGGATTCCCCCATTCTACAGGATGGATTGCTGTATCGTTGCTGGGAGAGCAAAGACGGAAGAAACAGCACGCTTCAGCTCATTTTACCTCAAGTCCGTGTCGACAGCGTCTTGCGTGAACTTCATGACAGTCCTGCTGGCGGACATCTTGGGATATACAAGACCCTACAACGAGTTCGAGAAAGATTCTATTGGGTTGGATCAACTCGAGATGTGCGCGAATGGTGTAAAAAGTGCGACCACTGTGCGTCGCGTAAAGGACCACCATCACGAAGCCGAGGGAGGATGGTAACCTACAACGTCGGTGTCCCGTTTGAAAGAGTGGCCATTGATGTTGTAGGTCCACTACCGAAAACGACACAAGGAAATCGGTACGTCATAGTGATTGCTGACTACTTTACCAAATGGCCAGAAGCATTGCCAGTACAAACGTACGACGCAGGCACTGTAACCAGGATCATGACGGAAGACACCGTTCCAAGATACGGGGTACCACAGGAAATTCATTCTGATCAGGGTCCGACTTTTGAGTCGCAAGTGTTCAACAGCATGTGTGAGACACTCGGAGTTAGGAGGACGAGAACCAGGCCCTTGCATCCTCAGTCGAATGGCATGTTAGAAAGGCTCAACCGCTCACTCAAGCAATACCTTTCGCTCTTCGTTGACGAGCACCAGGACAACCTGGGACACTCTACACTGTAAAAAAAAAAAGAAGTTACCACCATACACCCTTTTGTCCCATATAATACACCCCAAAACTTCATTTCGACGTACAGCGCCCTAAAATCGAACAGGCGGCCCCAAATTTTACGAGGGGCTTGATAACTGTGCGGTAGAACTTATTAAACTGCTAAAGTACGTATCAGACCAAAGAAAGAAAACACGGAGCGTTTTCAGTAGGGTCAAGAAAACTCCGATAATCTTTTTGTCTTCAATAATACGTACATTAGCTATCTTAATAAGTTGTACCACACGGCTATCAAGCCCCCTGTAAAATTTGGGGCCGCCTGTTCGATTATAGCGCGCTGTAAGTCGAATTGAAGTTTTGGGGTGTATTATATGGGACAAAGGGTGTAATAAGACACTCTTTTTTCGGAGAGTGTAATTCCATTCTTCCTAATGTCCTACCGGTCAGCCGTTCATACTGCGACAAGCTTCACGCCAGCGATGTTGTTAATGGGCCGGGAGCTAATTAAGGCTGCCTGCGAACATCACTTTTGGCACGCCAGTGCTTCCATCGCGTGAGACAACACGCAGAGTTCTTTACTCTGACTCCTCCCGCTACCTGCGAACGAAACTGATCTGTGTGCAGGATTTTGCACGAAAACATTTGCACCTGAGCAGTGGAAGTGCAAGAACCCGCTGCAACCGAAGCTGCTCGGGTCGCATACTCCAGCATGGAGACAAAGTGTAGTTGCATCAGCCACGCCGCACCAAAGGTAGCTGCCCGAAACTTCAGCGCAATTCGGAAAGCCCCTACGAAGTTGTCAAGCGACTAAACGACGTCGTGTACCGGGATCGGCACGTGATAAGCCGGAAAGTTCACGTAGTTCATTTTGATCGGCTGGTTCCCTATCAACCTGACTGAATATTTTTTTTCACTACCTCAGGACGAGGTTCATGTGTCGTCGGGGGGCAGTGTTGTGGCGGTGCTGCGAATGAGAAGACGACGAAAAGGAGGACAGGAAGAAGTCGCGAGAAAAAGGACGGATAGTGATGAACGCTGAACGCCGAACGCTGGGATTTTAAACCGTCTTGATTTTCCTAACATTATTTATGTTATTTTCCGGCGAAGACACAAAATTCACGCGTGTTTTCCTATAGGAATACACAGGGAGGCTGGAAATGTACACTGCATGCTGTCTGCTCCAATTTGCAACCGGAAGTCCCGTAGACACGAGCGCCAGCTGAGCCTCTAGCGTTTATTGAAATAACTCTATGGTTCGAAGTACCCGTGGGGTGACGAGCCTGTGCTGGCCTAAGGAGTACGTAGCTTCCACAACACTGTCAGCTTAGGGCTGAACGGGGTGGGAAAAGCAACTTTTGTCCGAGTTTTGAGCGACGGGCTAATCTTCTAGAGGGAGAATGGCTGTGTCCCATTTGCACGAATGAGGGTCCGAGAAAGAGGGGAGTCCTTCCTTTCCGTCTTCTTGGACTGGTTGGTACAATGCCCGATATGTGAGTTGAGGAGGGAAGCTAAGAAGGAAAGTGTTGAAATTCCAAAGAGCGGCGCTGCTCCGATGTAACTTGCTACGTCATGACTACGTTGCGAGTTCCCCAAAGTTGCTAGATTACCTCCCAAATAGGCTCCGCATGCATCCACCAGGTGCACATTGAATGATGATTTGATTATCTTTAAAATTAATTTGCTTGTGTCTTTCAACAAAAGACTGGTATATTTGAGGTTATGCTGCAACATGCAACAAATTAGAGATAACAAATGAGCGCTGGCATTTGGTTTCCGTACCCCTTTAAATATAGGCTGCTTTTAGAGGGAGGAACGTCCAGCTCCCCATTTTCTGCTTATCAGAGGCAAAATAAAAACAAAAGGCTCTAAGTTGAAGTTGTGTTCTGGTTTTCGAGAGCCGTCGGATTTTCTTTTAGAGCGCAGCTCTTAGGCGGCCGTTTCCGGTTTGAGCGGCGTCGGCGTCGCCGTCACCGTCGGCGTAACCGCGAGGTCACGTGACCCCCAAGGTCACCCCAAGGTCACGTGACCCACCAAGGTTACCCCAAGGTCACGTGACCCTCCAAGGTCACGTGACACCCCAGAGGTCACGTGACCTCCCGAGGTCACGTGACACCCCAGAGGTCACGTGACACCCTCCCCGAGGTCACGTGACCCCCCCCCCCCGAGGTCACGCGACCCCCTCCCCCCGAGGTCAGGTGACCCCCCCCGGAGCATATTCAAAAATGAGGGGAGGAGGAGGAGAAGGAGGAGGAGGAGGGGTCTACCCTCAGTACCCTTCCTCCTCCTCCTCAAGAGCTGCGCTCCAATTCGGCGTTACAGGGAGTTGTAAACGGCTTTCACTTTTTTCTTCTAACTTTACCAATTAACTCAGCTTTCTGCATCACCATAACCCTGAGGCGAGAAAAACAAAACGAACAACACACGCATCAAATTATCGTATATACGATAATATAACATTAATATATAGTACCGCACATATATTTTAATATTCACGACCGTATTTGTTTGCTAGGATAGGGCCAGCCTGACCTTGGGGGACTATCCTGGTAATGCACCAACTGGTCAACTCAAGCCCCTAACTCGTATTTGTATATCTGCTGAGTAAGGTTATCAGCTTGACAGCGTCTTATGCCTTTCAGCCTTCCACCTTGATGCTCTTGAACTTTTCTCGCATTTTTGCCCACAAACGTCGTCCTCCCCTGTTTCGAAATTCGCTTCGGCTTCTGCGGGGAGACGTGCTCTGTGGCCATATGAAGCTAGACCTGTTGGCCGAGCCGTCAATACTCGTCAAGATGAGGACCTTATCGTTCATTGGCAGTTCTGGTGCACAAGAGTCCTTCACAAGTTGCGAAGCGCACCGTGTGGTGCGTCCCGGGCACCTCATCTTCGCTCATTGGCCAATGAGATGGCACAATTAGCCGATAAGAACGGCGAGGGACCAGACACGAACCAAGAAGCGGAAACACAAGCAACAGTGCCCTGCTTTTCTCAACCAGACAAAGACTCTAGTGCGAAAACCTAACTTTATTTTACGAGAGCGTACTAAAACTCGCCAGTGAATGGAACGTTCAGAGGACCACAAATGTAGTTTCAGAGATCGTTTTGTTATGGTACAAACTCATTCTGATGCACCCTGAGCATCATATAAATCCCAAAGTTACAGTCATACATCACATTTTTCACCATTAGAAAACGTGACTAGAGAGCGCAAAAAGCCCTTCTTGTTTTTTGCTGAGACGTCTAAAAACAAAATGGGCGTATCGCGGTGTTTGGCCGCGTTTTTTACGCGCGAAAAAAAAAAAACAAGCGTGATTGCAAAATAGGGTTTATAGGATGCTCATAAAAACTGCGCCTAAAAAAAAAAAAGATTTTAAAATTTTATTTTGGTGCGACTTTAAGCCTGATACTTCGTGAATTGTTAGCTTCTCTTCAAAAATAAACTTGATGTTCCAGATGTACTGTCGCCTTTGCTGCGCCATCTATCATCCTCGATATGGTGAATGAGCTTCAAAAAGGAGACTACGACGTTTCTTCGCTCAGAAAAGGTATGAATGCTCGATCCGATAAAATATTAGCGCCCCTTTTCCAAATTGTCTATATTCCGACTTGCCTAAAACTGAAAGCAGCCAAGACCGTATTAGCGAAACACTTTTTATAGCTCCTTGGCTGGACTAATACCAGCTTGAATAAACAAAACCCATTTTTTAGAAATTTGACGTTATCACAGGGAGTACAAGCGAAAACACAGATTGTACACGAGTGATTCGTCTCTGTCTGGCTGCTCTTCGTGCCCAATAAACACCCCTAAGTACACTCAACATGGTCCTCGGGTCTGATTGCTCAATTGACGCCATCGAACTGTGATGACAACAAAGGGGAAGAGGGTGTATTCGGGCATTTATTGATCTGGTTTTTGTTGACCGCAGCTCATAATGCGGTAGAATTAGTGAAGGTAAAATACTTTTCACAGAGGGCACGGCTTGTGCCGCGCACAGCAAAAAGAGGAAAAAGGATTGGCAATCTTCAATATTGTATTTGATTCGGCGCGCGTGTACTATTTCAGCGAGGACATCAACCACGCTACCGTGAGCGAAACAAAACGGCTTTTATGCAAAGGGCGAAAGTATGCATGCGAGCTGGTTAGAAAACATTAGATATCTAATCCTGTGACAAGGAGAAATAAATTAACAGTCAAGACGACGCGAACTCTGAAAAATAGCTGAATTAATTCGGGAGGGAACAACATATTATAGCCATCCACGCAGGCAGGAACGAGGAAAGACAAAAAGACATGACGTCGTAAAGAGGCGGAAATGACGCCAGGCTGACTGACATCCACGCAGAAACCACACCACTAGCAGACACCTGCCGCCGAGCTATCCAACGATAAAGACCCCGCCATGGTTATATTCCCCGCTTAAACCCCCCCCCCCCCCTCCCCCCACTACCACCCCCTCGACCTTAGCAACCAAAACTTACAACAGAACCAACTTTCTTGCGCGTTCGTTTAAAACTACAGACGGCTGCCTCACGCAATTTCCGTGGTCCTCTTTACTCAAGGTTTCTTTTCAAAACAGTTTGAAGGAATCGCTTTCTTTGCAGAAGATTGGAGCATATATTTCGATAATGGTAAGCAGGCATTAGGTGTAGCAATATCATTGGCCAGATTAGATGAGGTAGAAACATTTTCACACTTATTTTTTTTTCTCTCCAAAGGCGGTCTTTTACACACTGACCCGTCTGCTCCACATACCAGAGCCCATAATTAAACTGAATATAACACACAACTTTCTCGACTCAACCAATTGGAGGATCCCTGCGTTCTTTTCTCACAGCTTTGTTCTCGCTAAAAACTCGAAAGGTGTCAGGCTACATAAGCGAAAATCAGTCTTAGAAATGACATTTAAATCGTACTTCAGAGTCCAAGCTTTAAGGATATGGGAAAGCCTGTGAAAGTCCCGACTTAGAACAGGTACAAAATTACAACGACGAAGAGACGATGCAAGACGTTGCTGTGGAGGCAAGCGAGCTCCTCGATGCGAAGCGGCTACAGGAGACGGTGAACGTTGAAGATACGTGTCGTCACTTTCTCGTGGGCACCCACCGTATCATGGGCGCAGGTCTTTCGGGCGGAACCCGCGCAGGCCAAGGTGCCGATAACGGTGTCAGCGATAAGTGTGGTCAGCTTAGCTGCCGTACTAGCATAGCGGGCGTCGGTGAGCCGTCCTTCAGATGACCCTCTTCCCCGGGGCCGACTGATCTTGTCGGACCTACTGGAGTTGTTCCTCCTGGCGTCGAGTGGGGTACAGGCGTGTCGCGTCGAGAAGGCGCCGGGTACTGATGGGCAACCAGTGGCGATCGTCAGGTTATGGCGGAGCATGTCAACGGCGGCACCTCCGGGGCGGCCACATTGACGAGAGCTCCCGGCTGCAAGGCCCGCTGTCCCTTGTCGTGTAGGATCGTGACGACTGGAAGCAAGGACTGGCGCTCAGCAGCGGGGAGGAGCTTTCGGAGCTCCCTTTGGACGAGGACCTGAAAGAGCTCGCGAACGTCTGTTCTGTTGGCGCCAAGGTAACACATTGACGACGAGGATGCAGCGACGCCAGGTATTGAGAGGCTCGAACCTGGAGGGAGCGTTCGATGTTCGTGGCCTCCATCCCGAATCGTTCGACGGTCGCTGGTAAACAGCGCGCACAAGACCTACAAAGATGTTGTCTTTTACCTCCCGCACAAGAATCCTCACTTTCTTCGCTTCTGTAGCTTCAGGATTCTCTCGATTGCTCAGTCGAAGCACGACTTCGATGATGCTGACGATGCTCTCGTTGGGAACTTGAACTCCTGCATGGAACAGCTCCTCAGCTCGTTCTCTTCGCTGTTGGGTCGCAAAACTCGGCACCTCCGCAGGGCTCACCCTTACATGATGAATGATTGTCGCCTCGTGGTTTTCATCCTAATTACGTTCCGTTGCCTCAAGAGAAGTGGACATTCTGCAGGCATTTTGCCGGCGTCCACCTATTCTGACGGGCAACTTGCTTGTACTGCTGTCTAGTTGTCGATGTCCTTGAAGACGTCACCGTGGGAGGGCGTCGGAGTACCACGTGCGACGGGCAGGACGACGACGGGTGGGCTGGTCGGAATATGCGGCAGAGCGGTGCTCATCACCTTCTTTGTCTTCTCCGGCAACTGTAAATATTTCGGGGATTGATCTCGGGAGCGACGGCCGGCTCGGGCTTAGGTGTCTTCTGCAAACGGTAGTCTTCCGGGGCTGAGCACCTCACTTGGCTGGCGTGTCTTCAGAGCTTCGCGGGTGTAGAATTCGTTGCCTCGCACCTCCACAAAATGTTGGGGATTGAAAAGATTCCTCAAGCGTAACCTGAAAAAACAGGTTTCATCGATGAACTTGTGCCAGGAAAAACGAGAAAGATTGAGCGTCGAAGCACAAGCAGCGAACGTCACGGCGTCGGCGCGACAGCTCGCTAGAGCGAGAGCCAGAGAGAGTTGGCAAGGCCCCGCTGGGCTCCTTATCTACTGCACTCGGGATCTCGAACGTTCGACCTAGAATGTTCGGGGGTGAACAAGGGTGAGACTGACTACGCAAGATCATTATGGCCCCCTTACCCTTTACACTCGGGGTAAGAGTAAACTTGAATCTTCTAGAAGTACCAGGACGCGTTACTTCATGTGATGCACGCGGCAATATTTTGCTTTTCGTATCTTTTTTACTTGGTGCCATCTATGTGCAGTATCACAAACCTTCCTAAAGTGGTGACATAATCACGTCGCCTAATCGGCCCTCGTTTCGACACCTGCCTATCTTACACCCTTCTAATATCAAAGAACTGAACGTTTCGTGGCATACAATAGCAAATTTATGGACGTTACAAATCATTTGCAGTTCTCATCCATCATACTTACAAATTTGCATCTCCTGAAAACGTTCAATGTTACAAAACAAATACTCATACATTACAATCAATTCATTTTCCTATGAGATTCTTCATCTTTTTGTGCCGTCAGTTTTGCGCTATTTTAGTTATGAATGCCGATTATAATCACCACAACTCTTGTTTGAAAAGTATTCAAAAGTGTAACTTGATTATCTGGGAGGAAAAATAATTGATCGTTCTTTTAATAAGTAACCGAACTAATACTGTATTAAACATTTATGGTTTCCGGTTAGTTCTGAAGAAATCAGAAAATGTTCCGATTTCTTTAGGAGTTCAAGTCGTTCCCACTTCTAATGCCAGGAACAAACAGAACTTATATCATTGAGAACGCAAACTTTATACAAAACTTGTCAGACTGTAAACGGGCCTTTCGTGCTGTATACTGGTGGCTTACAATCGCCATAATGCATACAACTCAAATTTCTGATTCTTGTGGAATGCCCACTGCTTCATTTCAATGCTACCAAAGACTCACTTTTTTATCATACCTTTGCTTTTACAATATTTGTTCTTACTTGTTTTTCAGGCATTAAAGGGTAGGAATGTCTTAAGCCGGATTTATATTTTTTCAACAAAGGGGTAGTTGCTTGTTTCAATTGCTGATGAAGATATGCATGATATATAATAACCACCGAATATCGCACTAAAAGGCTTTTTTTAGAAATCTCGGATTTGATATCGCAGCTCAAAACACAGCAAACTACAATGTAAGCTTCCAGACAAAATGTCTTACCTCCTTCCCTACAACTCGGTAACAATTGTCTTGTTCTTTGACCGTGGAAAAATATGGAAACTCATAAAGGGGAGAGATGGTATCATTACTACATTGATATGTACTCACTACGTAGCTCCAAACTCGAACTGCGATGAAAACGAGGATAAGAAATCAAGCTAGTTAAAAAAAGAAAACGTTTTGTATTTATGTATTTTATTTCTTGTCATACAAAAAGGCGATCCAGCAAAGGCCTAAGTCAGATACATTCCGTCTGACGAAGACCAGTGACGCTTGTATATAGCATTAGCAATATATAAATTCTACATAGAAAAAAGTAAAATATATACAGAAAACAACGGTACGAAGTTATACATTTTATTACATCTTGAAGTCAAAAATGCACTCAACGCATTTTATACGATGGCTACATGGAAACACACTTGGGTTTTTTCAGTATTTCTATCACTTCCAGAATGGTGAAATTATATTTACGATAATTATCCGATTAAGGCAATCAAAGGTTCATAGTAACACCCCCAAAAAGTAATATAATGCAAGTACTTTCATTACTTAAAGTAAGTTCCGAAAAAAATGATTCTCATGGACGCTGAAAGCAGAAATTTCGGTCACAACAACGACATAATAGATTCTGCATACAAATTGAACACTCCGAAACTGCCTTCTCTCTGAACGCGTAGCTTCATATGTCTTTCGTGGCGGTCTAGTCTTTTTTAAATCACTAATGAAAATAAGAATCTTACTCTGCTGGTGATCTACTGAGGTGCCAACCTACAGTTTCGGTGCCACACGTAACACAAGGCCTGAGCATGACGTTACCTGTTAGCGGACCCACAAGCGGCAAACAGGCAGAAGCTCTATACAAGAAACGCCGCACAGCGACAGACGCGTCCCTCTCGATTTTTCCACGAACTAGCTTCGCGCTCATTTTTAGACACTGCAAGACGATTGCGATGCAAGCTAGACCTCACTTCGGGGTTCCACTACTATGGCGCTTGGAGGGAAAGGCGCATGCTTTGTCTCCGAGGCGGTATTGCAAGGGCCGCAAGGGCCTCTGGCACTGACGTCGGCTTCGCTGGAGTTTCCGCGTCCTTACTGTCTTATATTTTTTTGCCTAAATTTTGTTTTTATTCGACAGCGCCTGGTAATTGCCTGCAATTACCTCTACTCACCTGACTCCCCATTGCCCTTCGGCGTTTGCCATTTCTTTTCCCAGCAATCGTGTCCGGAGCCTTGTGTAATCCCGAGGTTGTGGAGAAGGCGAGAACGAGGCTGAACACCCAAGCGCTCTACGTACGTTAACTATCCCGAAGCCGTTTCTTCGCCATGAAATGTTTTCCCCCGTTTCATAGAGTTCCTAAACTATGCCTGCCAATGATGCGACCTTTCAGATTATGTACGGAGCCACCGAAACCAGTCCGATCTTCTGCAGCACGAATCCGGACGAACCGACGGACCTCTGGATTCGGACGGTTGGGACACCGCTGGACCACGTTGAGGTCTGTACGCACCGGTCGCCAGTCGATTTCGGCAATGGATAACCAGGAGTGGACGGTGTAATTTACTTTTATTTCGGTTTTCTACTTGGGCTATCCACATCTCCAGAACTTTCCGTGCTCTAGCCTACCTCAAAGAGAAAACAGACTGACGACAACGCCTCTAACGTTTCGAACAGCGCGTTGAGAGGATGGCCCTAACTCGGCCCGGCGCGGGACGATCGTGTTGTTAAGTTAATTTGCACGAAACATCCATCGGCCGCGAGCGAAGTGCGAACAGCGGAGCACATGGCCTTCGATACGTGCTGCGGAACCTAGAGGCAACTATGAACTGATAGAACTGTGGCTTGGAGAAAGGGCCTATGTAAAAATTAACTAAATTCTCGGACGTCACGCCCCTCATGTAGCGCTGCTGTCTGCAGTGATCATGCGGAGACGTATTGCCTTTGGCGAATTTGGTTCCTGCACGCGTCCAGGACCCAAACGCGATGTGGGCGAATGGGTGGCTACCTTGTTAACGGTGGGTTGGTGTCTGCCCATCGGAGTAAATGCGCACCTTCGCAGTCCCGCTTCCATTCCTCAGTTTTATGCTTCCTACCTTACTCTAGGTTGCGAAGCGTGTATCGGAGGGCAGGCACTCTGCTGCTCCCATTTTATTCGAACTCGATGGTACACGTGTCCCGGTCTTAAAGAGCATCAGCCAAATTGTCCATTCATTAGTAAATATCTGTACTAACCATATTAATGTGAGCGCGAGGTCTTAAAAATAAATTGAGATTAAATAATGGCCATTTCACATAGAAAGATTACACAAACCCTGGACAAGCTGCAGAAAGCTAATTTTTTTTAAAGAGGTGTATATGTTGTCCCTTTAAGGAGAACATAGCGAATACATAGTTAAGAAAACGGGGAATCAAAATAAATTTTTTACAGTCAAAATAGCCGTCAGAAAAAGTTCTCGGTCAACACCGTCCCCCCAAAAATTGCACTGTAAAACGTTTTTTTTTTTTTTTTTCAAGCTCGAATCCGAACAAAATGGTCAAAGTAAAGTTTTCCGACGTTAATTTCTTGATCCTAACGAATGTTTCAACTCCTTGCACTCTATAAAATTTAATCTGAAGAACGGTAAATTTTTCCGAAATAGTTGTTACTGGACGTTCTATATTTATGTCGTATATATGCGTGATTATCTTTAAAACGGCGCTTAAAAAAAGATGTCAGATCTACAATGCTTGTGAAAACAGAATATATGCTGGGCCAATTCTTCACTAGGGCATAACTGGAAACAGTTTTTGCTACATATATTTAGTAATCGACATTCTAACTTTCAAAGAATCAAAGAAAAGTTTGGGAGTGTGCGAGATTACTAGAGGTGGCGTATTTGGGACCTTCAGCAAGCTCAGATACATTCCACAAAACAAACAAAAAAGTTTTGGATGATTTTTTCTAAATTATATTAAAAGTGCCAAATACTCTCACGAAAGACAAATGATGTGGTGGGCAATAATTGAAAAAACTAAACGTTTAATGGGGCGAACTTGTGCCGAAAACACAATGAAAATAATAACAGGCATCGCAGGAGGGCGTCGATGAAGGCGTCGTAGCAGGATGGAGCGCTTGCAAAGAACTGACCTCGTAGAACCACGCGGAGCGGCTTAATTGTATAACGCACGCGCGATTTTCATGAACATTCCAACTAGAATGTTTAGCCTTCGAACATTCTAAAAGAGACGCTTCTCTGCCATTATAAAAACTATTATTACAACACAACAATAAAAGTGGCGCGGCCCTCAGGGTGCGAGTCGGGTGCGTTGCAACTCGGCCACATACGCGGTAATATGCATAAAATTGTGTTTCTCTTAATTTTTATAAAAAGTAACAGAGCCTCACCTTTTTGAGAACTTACCCGATTTAGATGATGACATAAATGACTGAATTAATGAGGGTTTATGACATAAATGACATATAAAATGAAATTTGAAACAAATAAAAATTTAACACGTACAATATTTTTACTCAGAAGGTTATCTTAGCGGGAAATGTATTTGAATATGAAAAATACCTTTAAAAGTAGAAATTTCAAAATCAATTTTCTCAAAATGTAATTTTGTTTTTCATTTATCGTATGATGAGCTTTAGGAATGATGCAAGATATTTAATAAAAACAGGTGTAATAAAGGCTACGGAAATATAAATGCGTACATTTGAAATGACAAAATCGTTGAAGTTATATTCTAATGTCACATTCAATTGGGGCGCACCACACCGCACCGCACTGCACCGACGGTCGCGTCGCGTTCACATGGTCGTGTCGGTGCGGCTGCACTACATTCATTTGGGACTTGGTGCGGCGCACGACACCGGCGCGTTGCTGCACCAGCTGCACCGTCGAAAGGAGACCGTGCAGCTTCGCGCACTGCGGGCCGGCGCGGCCTTGAGTTAACGCTCTCCGCCTCCTTCGGCCCCTTCTTTCCCTCGCTTCGTCTTCCTAGTCGAGGTGTTGCCTCGTCTCGGTAAACAAACATGGCGGCTCGGAAGGCGGGGATCTTGGCTCTGCTCACTTCTTTTCCTCGAGGCGGCTGCTCTAGCTACGACTCCGGCAGTGACGACGAAAGTGAAGCCCGCGCGTGCGCCTACATGTTGGAGAAGTTGTTTCCGCCACCAACTAAACGGCCAAAGATCGTCGGTTACATCGAGGACGTCGTCCACAGATACTCGGACGAGGAGGTACGTACTCTGCCGGAATTCTGGGAGGCGTCTCATTTGATTCTTTGCTTTTCCTTTTGGCGTGCGGGGTCGATCTTCATGTCGTACGCTTTCTGCAGTTCCGGAGGAACTTCAGGCTGCCACGGTCAGCGTGCTACGACCTCATATCAGATTTCGAGGAGTCCTCATTCTACCCGGACTCGTTCTCCAGAGGAGGAATTCCGCAAAAGACGGCCGAGGAGCACATCCTGTCGTTTCTGTGGTACTGACAACATTTCTCTTTTTGCGTAATAACTGCAAACAGTGTGCCTATCACACCATTTTATTTGATAACATAGCGTTTTTTTAACCGGGAGAGGCAGAGAAAGGATAGGGGCGTCCTATCGGCTGTTGTGAAAAAGCAGAGCAGGGAAACAAGGGGGCGCAAATGGAGAGCAGGAGCAGCGGCAGTCACTTTTTTATAGGATGCAGGAACTGTGGCAGTCTACTTTCAATATGATAATATATCCTATGAAAAGTAGACTGGCACTGTTACTGCCTTCCATCTGCGCCCACTTGTTTCCCTGCTCTGCTTTTTCGTTATCGATATATTCCTGTAAACAAAAATATTGCGGGGTGGGCACAAATTTTTTATCGGCCATAGACAGGCACGTAGCCAGGATTTTGTTTCGGGGGGGGGGGGGGGGGGGGGGGGGGCGGGGGCGCCGCCCATGACAAAATGCTTTATGAGGGGGAGAGGAGGTCCCAGCAAAATGGAAGATTTCGGGGGGTGGGGGGGGGGGGCCCATGGGCCTCCCCCCTGGCCACGTGCCTGGCCATAGATTTCTGTTTGCTTCTGTGCGAAAGCTGGGACCTCGTGATGCTGTACCTGTTGTAGCTTTTGCTCCGCTACCACGTTTCTCATAGAAAAAAAAAAGGCAGTTGGTTCAAAGAATCCTACCCAAAGTAGCCAAGTAGATGGAACTAAAGGCTTATTCACACGATGCATCTTTTCAACGCGCCACAGTTCAGCGAAACCAACATTTCGCGAAATCGGCCTGTTCACACGTGGAGCTTGACACGCGAAACCTGTGACGTATTGACTCACGAGAATTTCGCCAAACCTTGTCATCTTCACCGGGAATACCAAGCGTTTCGAATCAAAATGATATGAAGTACGCACAGTGTGAAGAGACAGTCTGTTTTATTAGTACCACTCAATGAACTTGGTACGATTCGGCTCACTGGGTTTACTATTCGCGCCAAACGCGGGAAAGACCGCGAACGTCAAAGAACAGGAAGATGATCTCGAAGCATTTCGGACATTTTTGCACCGCTCATAAAGAAAGTTATCCCGTCAGCATGTATATATGCGGTGCTTGCACTCGTCGCGACTGTTGATGAATCTGCACCGCGCCACCAACTTGTACTGTAGGCGCCGTTCACACACCTGCAACCGAGTAGGACCAAGACACGCCGCCCGTACGCATTGCTTCACCGGCTTCGCCGCTTATCGCTCGCCATGTTTGTTTGCTTTCTTTCGGCTTTGGCTCGGATACGGAATCGGCCAAAAATCATACTCCTCCAAAAGCTCGCTTCTCCTCGAAGGTCAGACGTCATAGCGAAGTCGAGCGGCCATTGGCAGTGTCCGCGTTTCTCCTTTGGGTGATTGACAGGCCTCGGTGAGGTTTTAGCAAAAAATTGCTCGAGAAGCGAGGAACACGCGCCACTTTTTTCGGAGGCGCACCACTTTTTCGGTCGCGTTCAGACGGAGAATCTGTTTCCCGAAACCCAGTTTCGCGACACAAGATTCGCCAACAAGATGCATCGTGTGAATACACCTTAAATGTGCCCCCCAGAGGCTAACAACTCACTACTCTGAAAAAATATACGAAATATTGTGGCGGAATATGTTGTTTTTTTACCAGTAAGAAGAAAGTTCTTTGCTCCAGGTTCGCAGGAAACAAGTGCTGCATCCGAGATGTCGCAGGCCGCTTCAATCTCAGCGAGGGCGGCTTCCATAATATGAAGGAGCGGGTGGTCAACTATCTGCTGGCCATCGCCCCAAGTGTCATAAAGTTTCCGGCGGACTTGGACAGCCTTGCTTCAGACTTCGAAGAGGTATACACATTTCTCTTTAGATCAGAGCAGAAAAAAAAGGCCATCTCTCGGGACAGTGCCGTGTTTTTTTCTTCCCTGAAATATGTGATTCCGTAGACGGACTCTTCGAAACGACCGGTTCAGTGCACGGCGAATGAAGACACAACTTGTTTCAGCAATGTTTAAACACCGATGACCAGTTTGCGCTTCGCCTTCCC